TAAAGAAAAAGAATATATATTTTGAAAAATAGTTGAACAATGTAGTTTGCACAGTTTTTTCTTCTTTTTATCAACATACATACCTTTATAGCATCAAATATCATTTTGTAATGCCTGCCTAACTTTAATACCTCATTCAATGTATGGATCCATATGCGTTATGAAGTTACAGGCATCTTCTGCTTTTGCAATTAACGTTGATTACCAAAAGTTGAAAATTGAAAGCGAACATAGATAAGAGTAAGGTGATTAGGGTATCAAACAAGTAAAGAAAAATTTTAAATCACATTGGAGAGAGGGAGTATGGAAGAAGTGAATGGGTTCAGATATTTGAGAGATCTGTCAGCAGATGAGTTTATGATGGATGAGGTTAACCATAGAACTAATGAAAGAAGAAAGGTGAGTGGTGAGCTGAGGTATTTGTGGAGACAAAAAACATTATCCATGGAGGCAAAGATGGGAATGTACGAGAGTACGTATAGTGGTACCGACACTCTTATATGGGTGTGCAGCATGCGTTGTGAATGCTTCAGTGAAGAGGAGGCTGGAGGCAGTGGAGATGTCATGTCTAAGGGCAATTTGTGGTGTAAATATTATGCAGAGAATTTGTAGTGTTGAAATTAGGAGGACTTTGTAAATAGTCCAAGTCAAACCGAAATGTCATCCTATTTGCAGGTTATTTGTGCATAGGAGGAGGTGTGGAATTAAAAAGTATTATTTAGAAGGCTGAAGAGGGGTTATTGATGTGGTTTTGTAATTTGAAGAGGATGGAGCAAAATAGAATGACCTGAAGGGTGTATAAATCTGTAGTGGAGGGAAGGAAGGGTAGGGGTGTCCTAGGAAAGGATGGAGGGAGGAGTGAAAGAGGTTTTCTGTGCAAGGGGCCTGGACATGCAGCAGGCATGTGTGAGCATGTTAGATAGGAGTGAAAGGAGATGAATGGCTTTTGGGACCTGACAGGGCTGTTGGAGTGTGAGCAGGGTAATATTTTGTGAAGGGGTTCAAGGAGTTTGGGATATTGGCCATTTGGGGTGACATCTAAACTGTCATATCTGGACACTTCTGGAAAGACTGTGATTATGTGTGAATGATGGTGAAAATGTTTCTTTCCTTTTTGGGTCATCCTGCCTCGGTGGGAGACGGCTGACGTGTTAAAAAAAAATTCATCCAATGTGAATTTTTTCATGGGTGCAGCATTTTCTAATTGATTTTCCTCTTTTTCTTCGTATAACCATTGCTGTTCCATTTCCACAAGTGTTGCATCATCGGAATACAAGTCAATGTATGTACTGACACACATTTTCACAATCCAGAGCTTCTAATCCAAGATGATCTTTCCCAAGCTGCACAGTTTTTTCACAAACAGTTTCAATATGTCATTCAAAACCAATAAAATCATTGGAACAATAAGGTAAAAGAAATTGCCAATCAGCTCATGTTGTATATATGTTGGTAGAATTACCGCCAATATGTAAAGTAAAAGGACATAAGTGCAACTAATGTGACATTTTATTTTGGCAATGTTTTGCTCTCCAGGAGCTTTGTCAAGCTGTTACAAACAATACATGGATACAGAGGGTATATACAGTGGACCCCCGCATAGCGACTTTAATCCGTGCAAGAGGCCTGATTGTTATGCGAAATGATCGGTATGCGAATGAATTTTCCCCATAAGAAATAATGGAAATCAAATTAATCCATGCAAGACACCCAAAAGTATGAAAAAAAAAATTTTACCACGTGAAATATACATTTTCCTACACACAAAGAGAAGGATACATGCACAATAGTAGAGTAGTACATGCACAATATATATTGTGCATGTACTACTCTACTAAATGAAGAATAAATGACACTTACCTTTATTGAAGATGCAGCAATGACTGATGAGACACTGTGTCCTGGGAGTGCCTTTTCCTCCTGAGTACTGTAGGTCCTGTTTGGCATTTTCTTCCAGAACAGGCCTTATCACACTGTGTATGCCACTACAATTCTTAAATCTCTCAAACCAACCTTTGCTGGCTTTAAATTCACCAATATGAGCACTAGTTCCAGGCATTTTTCCCTGTTCACCTGGGTGTTAGTCGACTGGTGTGGGTTGCATCCTGGGAGACAAGATTAAGGACCCCAATGGAAATAAGTTAGACAGTCTTCGATGACACTGACTTTTTTGGGTTATCCTGGGTGGCAAATCCTCTGGGGTTAATTGTTTCTTGGTATTCCCAATAAGCCACACCAGCAACGGTGCTACAGCAGCAGCAGCAGCAGCTGACAGTGCTACAGCAGCAGCAGACGATGCTACAGCAGCAGCAGACGGTACTACAGCAGCAGCAGCAGCAGCAGCTGATGGTGGTACAACAGCAGCAGCAGCTGACAGTGCTACAGCAGCAGCAGACGATGCTACAGCAGCAGCAGACGGTACTACAGCAGCAGCAGCAGCAGCTGACGGTGGTACAACAGCAGCAGACGGTACTACAGCAGCAGCAGCAGCAGCTGACGGTGGTACAACAGCAGCAGCAGCTGACGGTGGTACAACAGCAGCAGCAGCTGACAGTGCTACAGCAGCAGCAGACGATGCTACAGCAGCAGCAGATGGTACTACAGCAGCAGCAGCAGCTGACGGTGGTACAGCAGCAGCAGCAGCTGACGGTGCTACAGCAGCAGTAGCAGCTGACAGTGCAGCAGCAGCAGCAGCTGTACCACCAATAGTAGCGATGGTTGATTGGGGTTTATTATACAACCTGGCCAGCTCGGAGACACGCACTCCACTTTCATACTTATCAATGATCTTTTTCTTCATCTCTATAGTAATTCTCACCCTTATTGCTGTAGGGTTGGCACTAGAAGCTTTCTTGGGGCCCATGGTCACTTATTTTGCAGATAAAATCACCAAAAACACTGTAATAATACGAAATGTTCCGATTGTATGCTTGGATGTTACCGCGGAGGCTGGCTGGTAAACAATGCCACCGGCAGCACATGTGAGGCTGGCTAAGGGCGCACATTGGACGCGTCTCGGACGAAGAGCGGTGAGCGGGTTTTTGGACGGTATGCGAGGCAAAATTTTTGAGATAAAAGCGAGCGGTATGCGGATTGAACGGTATGCGATGCGTACGGTATGCGGGGGTCCACTGTATAGGCTTAGAGTGAGGTGTAATATTAGTAGTAGTAGTAGTGATATAAGTTGCAGTAGCAGTAGTAGTGATACAATATGGTAGAACAATTGACTTGCACATGAGTACAAGGATATAAAAGCTATTACTTGGGTAGCATAAAATAGGTTAGACAAATATTTCTATTGGAGGTTGGATTAGAGAAGGCCTGTTTCAGTGTTCATCCTCAGTAATGTGCTTGTGTAGTATTAGCAGGAGAGACTGTGTGATGGCAGGGTTTACTGTTTTCAGGAGGATTCTTGCTAAGACTTCAGAGATGGTGAAGCTGCCTTTGTTTTGTATAATTGTATTAGAAACTGATTAGTGCTGATTCAAGGCACTTGAGTCTGCGGAAATTAGTTTCTTTGATCACTAATCGGGCATCCCTGAATTTCATGAGATTATTGGTGGAATTTCGGTATCGTACGCAGGCGTTGTTCAAGTTATCATTCCTACATTCATAAATCTGTTCATTGAGGCGGGTTTCGAGGTTTCTTGCTGTTTCACCTACATAAATCCTGTCGCAGCCTCCACAGGGTATAGTGTAAACCCCTGCGCTGAGTGGTTGATGGTGCTTGGATTTTGTCCTGGTTATATCTTTTATTGAAGTGCTGGAAGCAATGGAGAGACTAGTGTTAGCTTGTGGAAGTACTTTAGAAACATTCAATGCAACCTTGCTGTTGGGAAGAATTATAAAATCCAAGTCATGAACTTGCAGCCTCCCCATGCCTTACCACACTGTGTATGCCACTATGCTTCTTAAATCTCTCAAACCAGCCTTTCCTGGTCCTAAATTCACTAACAGCAGCACTTGTTCCAGGCATTTTCTTTACAAGATCTGCATGCAACTGCCTTGCCTTCTCACAAATCATCAGCTCCTCAACACTATCTCCTGCTAATTGTTTTTCGGTGATCCACAAAACCAACAACTTCTCCATATCTTCCATTATTGGTGACCTTCGTTTGGTTAGCACATTTACTCCTTTCACCACATTAGCTTCCTTGATTTGTTCTTTCTTTGCCAGGATAGAAGTGATTGTTGATTTGTTTTTCCCATACATCCTGGCAAGTTCTAGCACTCAAAAACCACTCTCAAACTATTCAACAACTTGTTTCTTAAATTTCATTGTGTTTCTCACTTTCTTTATCAAAGGAACTTTACAAGGAACTTTCTTTGGGGCCATGGTTACTTATTTCGCAGTTGCACTTAATCAGTAACCACGAAAAACAATGGATTATAGTGAAATGTTTGGATGAATGAGCAGAAGCTTCCTCCCGCACCCAGAGACAAAGCCAGATTGACGCTCGAGTGACTGACAGTGGCAGGTTGACGTGCACCATACGGCCAATAAGCGAAATAATGGCCGATAACTGGAAGCCGAAAAACTGCCCAATGAATGAGTTGATCTATAAGCGGAATGGCCAATAACCGAGGGTCCACTGTATGTCACTAAGTGAGGAGAGGCTATACTCAGTCGATAGAATAGAAGTAATACTAGACAAATAGCTATGAGTTTGGTTGACTGTAACAGTGGAATAGGGCACAAGGTGGGCAAAATTGCCAATGCATAAATATTGCCGAGACCGCCAATTTTACGAGAGTGTAATTCCATGAGTTTTTCATTGAACAGGTGAAATGTTGGCAGATAATTTTCTGCTGAGAAAACAGTTTGTGGTTTGAATATATCAAATAATGATCCAACATTTTGACAGGATGGAAGAATTTATGATATATTTTCTTGAACTACTGTTTCATATAGGAAGGAGATATCTCAAATGCTCTTTGTAGTGGACTGCTTGGGAATTTCACTGAAATTCTTAAGTGTATATGTTTTTTTTTTTTTACAGATGCTCACTAGCTGCTGCATTAGCAAGGGGGCGGGCACTGTCAGTTCGCCTGGTTATCTTAGCAAGTTGTGGTGGACCCAACCCACTCATCCCCAACCCTCCAAACAAATCCTTCCTACATTCACACCTTGCCACATTTTTGAGTCCATTCTTATCTTGTGGCTGTTGCAGGTGAGATATCTGGAGAGTTTATCTGGAGAGAGTTCCGGGGGTCAACGCCCCCGCGGCCCGGTCTGTGACCAGGCCTCCTTAGGTCAGTGTCCCAGGATGCGACCCACACCAGTCGACTAACACCCAGGTACCCATTTTACTGATGGGGAACATAGACAACAGGTGGAAAGAAACACGTCCAATGTTTCTACTCTGGCTGGGAATCGAACCCAGGCCCTCGTCGTGTGAAGCGAGAGCGTTAACCACCAGGCCACTAAAACCATTAAAACTATGCTGATTCTTAATTGTTTTTAACAACTGCTTGTAATGTTTTAGGGAAAGTGTGGTCTTTAGGTAGTGGGGGAATGGTGTAGGCATGTGACTGTTGGGGAGGGGGGATAATTGTATTGGCAGGTTGTGTGGGTGGAGGTTGCTTTATGTGTGGCAGGAAATGGGTGGAGGCAAGCAGTATGGAACAGGCATGTGGCCAAGGTATAGTATTGGATGCATATGAGTGGAGCTCTGAAGCAAGGGAGGTTTTTGTACATTAAGCAAGCCTCCCATATAAAACAATGTATGTACTCACCTGTACACCATTGCAAGACAGAACTCAGCATGTGCCACATTTTCCCCTACATGTGTATTGCCATGTGAACTGATTAATATGGCATGTTCCAATATGCCGCACTCTTGTGACTATGTTAAGGCAAAAGTGTTAATAGACCGTGTGATAACTGACGGTTTAATGTGTGTGTGCTTGTTTTGGTTTGTTTGTGTGTGTATTCATTTGTTGAAAATTTTTTGGATTTTTCAATATTTCAGTCGTGAAATTCTGTATGCTCCAAGAGGGAAACACTTTGCTGCTGCCTCACTTACTGGGTCAGCCATCACCCCAACCCCACGTTATGTTCTGGAGTATGTGGCTAAAGGACAGAATTGGCCTGAAGGTGATGTTGCCTTTCACCGCCGTATCACTGTCCCTACACTCTTGCTACATGGCATGAAGGATGACCGCATCTCACTGGTGGAGATGTGTGAAATGGAAAGGGTGAGTATTTGTTTCTTAATATGAATATTGACAGCAAGTGTTTTCTTGATAATTTTTTTTTAACCACACTGGCTCTATCCCACCAAGTTAGGGTGACCCATTAAATAAATATTCACCATTATTTATTCAATGGTTTAGTCTTGCCAGCAGTTTGCAGATGGCACAAATCAAATGACCTCCAAGTCTAACAACTACTACTTTCCCTCAGAGGGCAGGCACTGGACCTCCCTCCTCCATGACTGAATTTAGCTAACTGGTTTCCCCAGATCCCTTCATAAATGTTATCTTGCTTGTGCTGTATCACCTCAAGCCATAAAACCCATTTGTCTTCACTCTGATTTAACCCTTTGACTGTTTCGGTCGTATATATGTGTCTTACAAGCCACCGTTTTTAATGTATATACTTGTACATACTCATAAATTCTAGCGGCTTCAAATCAAGCAGGAGAAAGCTGGTAGGCCCACATGTGAGATAATGGGTCTATGTGGTCAGTGTGCACCATATAAAAAAAAATCCTGCAGCACACAGTGCATAATGAGAAAAAAAAAACTCAGACTTTTTTTTTTTAATTAAAATGCCAACTTTGTGGTCTATTTTCATATACACCTACCATCTGACTTACGACCAAGCTTGGTTCCGACCAACCGGTCGTAAGTCAAAATGGACGTAAGTCGAACCTTTGAAAATTGCTGACATACTGGGTAGGGCATAATATCAAGCTTTTTCTATATAAACAAACTACATAGTACTGTAATGTAATGTACAATCATTATTTCATTTTTTTTACCATAATTTACTTCTGTTGTTATATTTTAATTATTTATTTACTGTATATAATGTATACATGGTAATGAACTGTACAGGTCTCCCTCAACATTCGCGAGGGTTAGGGGATCAAGAGCCTTGTGAATGTTGAAAAACCGTGAATGTTTGGTGCCCCAATATATTGTAGGGAAATATAATACAATGCTGCTTCCTTAACTTGTCCAACCATGAACAATCATAAAGTACATGAAAACGTCGTAAATTGTACTAAATACATACGGCATGGTTGACAAATAGGCAGCAGAGAGTTTGCATAAATGGGGAGAAATCAGAGTGGGGAAGCGTCACGAGCGGTGTTCCACAGGGGTCAGTGTTGGGCCCCCTGCTGTTCACAATCTACATAAACGACATAGATGAGGGCATAAAGAGCGACATCGGCAAGTTTGCCGATGACACCAAAATAGGCCGTCGAATTCATTCTGACGAGGACATTCGAGCACTCCAGGAAGATTTGAATAGACTGATGCAGTGGTCGGAGAAGTGGCAGATGCAGTTTAATATAGACAAATGCAAAGTTCTAAATGTTGGACAGGACAATAACCATGCCACATATAAACTAAATAATGTAGATCTTAATATTACGGATTGCAAAAAAGATTTAGGAGTTCTGGTTAGCAGTAATCTGAAACCAAGACAACAGTGCATAAGTGTTCGCAATAAAGCTAATAGAATCCTTGGCTTCATATCAAGAAGCATAAATAATAGGAGTCCTCAGGTTGTTCTTCAACTCTATACATCCTTGGTTAGGCCTCATTTAGATTATGCTGCACAGTTTTGGTCACCGTATTACAGAATGGATATAAATTCTCTGGAAAATGTACAAAGGAGGATGACAAAGATGATCCCATGTATCAGAAACCTTCCCTATGAGGATAGACTAAGGGCCCTGAAACTGCACTCTCTAGAAAGACGTAGAATTAGGGGGGATATGATTGAGGTGTATAAGTGGAAGACAGGAATAAATAAAGGGGATGTAAATAGTGTGCTGAAAATATCTAGCCTAGACAGGACTCGCAGCAATGGTTTTAAGTTGGAAAAATTCAGATTCAGGAAGGATATAGGAAAGTACTGGTTTGGTAATAGAGTTGTGGATGAGTGGAACAAACTCCCAAGTACCGTTATAGAGGCCAGAACGTTGTGTAGCTTTAAAAATAGGTTGGATAAATACATGAGTAGATGTGGGTGGGTGTGAGTTAGACCTGATAGCTTGTGCTAACAGGTCGGTTGCCGTGTTCCTCCCTTAAGTCAATGTGACCTGACCTGACTAGGTTGGGTGCATTGGCTTAAGCCGGTAGGAGACTTGGACCAGCCTCGCATGGGCCAGTAGGCCTTCTGCAGTGTTCCTTCGTTCTTATGTTCTTATGTTCTTATGTAAATACCACTGCCTCAACCAATGCGAGTCCCTACTACCCTCCCTCCGACCCCCCACAACTGGCAGCCAGCCCTCCCACCACTGTGTGGTGAGTGTTTTGTTTGTTCATTATTTGCTATTAAACTACAGTATAAATAATGTAAACCGATCCATGACTGCATACTAGAATGGCTATTCGGACAGGTATTGGACGGTGACATCATGTGTTTACTCTTGAACACAGCAAAGAATCAAACATTTGTGCTACTGCTAATAATAATAATAATAAAAATTAATAATATAATATAATAAAATAATAATAATAATAATAATATAATAATAATATAATAATAATAATAATAATAATAATAATAATAATAAATACGATAGAATTGAAGAAGGAAATTGTACAAAAATACGAGGGTTGAAGCAGTGGTGAAGGAAGTGGTTGACGCAGCCTCAGTGTGGCTTTGTTTATGCTGGAGTGAGTATTAGTCTCCGTGCTCTTCCAAACATTTCACAGTAATTCATTGTATTTGGTGCTTGCTTGTAGATTGAGTGTGACTGGAGTGGTTGAGGCAGTGGTAGAGGCAGTGATAGAGGCAGTTATAGAGGCAGTGGTAGAGGCAGTGATAGAGGCAGTTATAGAGGCAGTGGTAGAGGCACTGCCTCTCTAACTGCCTCTACCACTGCCTCTATAACTGCCTCTACCACTGCCTCTATCACTGCCTCTACCACTGCCTCTATAACTGCCTCTATCACTGCCTCTATCACTGCCTCTATCACTGCCTCTACCACTGCCTCTATCACTGCCTCTACCACTGCCTCTATAACTGCCTCTACCACTGCCTCTATCACTGCTTCTATAACTGTCTTTACCACTGCCTCAACCACTCCAGTCACACTCAATCTACAAGCAAGCACCAAATACAATGAATTATTGTGAAATGTTTGGAAGAGCATGGAGACTAATACTCACTCCAGCATAAACAAAGCCACACTGAGGCTGCGTCAACCACTTCCCCCACCACTGCTTCAGCCCTCGTATTTTTGTACAATTTCCTTCTTCAATTCTATCGTATTTATTATTATTATTATTATTATTATTATTATTATTTTTATTATATTATTTTTATTATATTATTATTATTATTATTATTATTATTATTATTATTATTATTATTATTATTAGCAGTAGCACAAATGTTTGATTCTTTGCTGTGTTCAAGAGTAAACACATGATGTCACCTTCCAATACCTGTCTGAATAGCCATTCTAATATGCAGTCATGGATGGGTTTACATTATTTATACTGTAGTTTAATAGCAAATAATGAACAAACAAAACACTCACCACACAGTGGTGGGAGGGCTGGCTGCCAGTTGCAGGGGTCGGAGGGAGGGTAGTAAGGACTCCTGGCGGTAAACTCAAATATGATTTGGAGGCTGGGAATTTGGCGGTTGGGAATTCGCGAATGTGTGAAGCCCGCGAAAGTTGAAAATGTGAATGTTGAGGGAGACCTGTATTGTAAATTTTACATCGCATACAGTATCATGTGTTACTGTTATCTTTATGTATTGTCGACACAGTGGAATGGGAGAATACCACTGGTAGTGTCATCCTGCCAGAATGTAGTATAACCTATACCCTAAGTAAAGAGAAACAACTCTGGAACACGTGTAATACGTAGCTGGCTGGCTGGCCGGGTGGGAGTCCGGGTGGGTGATTGGCTGACTGAATGTGTGTGTCTCTCTCTCTCACAGGTACACGTAAGTAAAGTTATCATACATAGTATAAATTACCTAGGATAACCCAAATAATCCAGACAAAGTGCTATATTGTGGATCTGTGCTCCAGTGCCCTAAATTAATAATAATAATAATAATAATTATTATTATTATTACAATAATACATATGTCTAATATTAATAATACTATTAAACTATAATATAATAATCGTGTCCACTCATTACTTACCTTAAAATATCTGTAGTCTTAATGTAGAGTGAGAGGTGTGTAAACAAGATTAAATGAATAAACGAATGAGTGTGTAGAAGGTTGGTGAGTTATGTAAACAAATGTTGTTGTTGTTACCAGCCCGGACACGAATGATTCTTGTTCACTCTGTCAAGCCGACCAGAAAAACATCTCATATTTGTTAATTTATATGTTCATATGTTATGTAGCATGTTTATTATATAATTTTGAAAAAGAAATCATAGATGGATAAAGCAAAATGTCTATATCAACATTTTATACACATTTAATGCACTTCAGTGATTATTATTATTATCATTATTAATATGGTATCTTCAAGACCAATTACACTCTTAATGAGTGGCTCTGAGACAGACAAGCAGACAGAAAGACAGACAAGCAGACAGAAAGACAGACAAGCAGACAGAAAGACAGACAAGCAGACAGAAAGACAGACATACAGACACACAGGTAGACAAAGACACACAGGTAGACAGATAAACAGACACACAGAGATACACAGATATATAGGCAGACAGATACAGACAGGTTTATGTGCAACAGTGAAAACAAATAGAGAGTTCGAGAGTAAGAGCCTTTCTTGCCACAGACTTCATCTTAGGGGCCATGGTGAAATTTACTGTCCAGTTAGTACGGTTAATACAGTATGATGCTGCTGATAGGACAGGGTTACTCAAACTGATGCTGCCTGCATGACGCATTGCCGCCGCGAGTATTGTCAAATATTGTACAGTGGTGTGCATCAGCCGGCCCAGCCCAGCTGCCAGATGCACGGTCGTAAGTCGAGTGGACGTATGTCGAGCAGGTCGTAAGTCGGATGGTAGGTGTAGTATTATTTATGGTTGTATTCTCGTTTTCTTGGTCTCATTTGATAGAATGGAAAACATATTATAGAAATAAGAGGTCATTTTGATTGGTTTTACTATGAAAAGAACCATGAAATGGAGCTCAAAGTAGGGAAAATGTTTGATTTTTGCCGATGTTCAAAAGTAAACAAATGATGTCATTTTCCAGTAAATGTCCAAGTAGCCATTCTAATATGCAGTCATGAATGGGTTGACATTATTTATACAGTTATTACAGTATTGCAGTAGTCTGCATAACAGTAAATCTTTTATTTTTTGTTTGAATAGAAAGCAAAAGTAATATCAGAGGGGCCTGGAGACGTGACTGATGAACAAAGAAAATGTTATTTTAGAGCCAGGAATGTCTGCAGTGTTCATTCTGGACCCTATTTTGAAATTGTCATATTTTTTAATTTTCGTGAAATTGGCCAAATTGCCAATTTCTGACCACGTTATTGGGTAGTTGAAATAAGTAAATGGGCAGTTTCTTGTACTCAGTCGATAGAAAAAATGGAGTTCTAGAGAAATAGCTATGAGTTTGGTCGACCGAAATTAGCCAAAAATAGGACTCAAAGTGGGCGAAATCGCCGATTCGTAAATATCGCTGAGGTCGCTAACTTCACGAGAGCATAATTCCATCAAATTTCATTCTTTTGGTGTCATTACAATCGGGAAAAGATTCTCTATCATTTCATAAGAATTTTTTTTTTTTTTTTTTTTTTTTTAAATTTTGCAACACCAGGAGACACCTCAGGATTTGGGGTTGTGACAGTCAAGGGGTTAACATGCTTACTCATGCCTGCTGGTTACTGAAGGCTAGCTCGTAAAACCTCTTTCAGATTCTCCCTCCAACCCTTCCTGGGATAACCCTTTTCTCTCTTTCCTTCCATTCTGGATTTATATACCCTCTTGGTCATTTTATCTACTCATTCCTTTCTAAATGCCTAAAACACCTCAACATCCCTTCCATTTCCCTCCAAATAATATCTTGTAACCCCACAGTCTTCGAACTCCAATTTTTTTTTTTTTTGCATAATCACAATATTCATAATCTTCATATATTTACAAAGCAGAAGTGTTATAAGAAAAACAGAGTATATGAAGAGTAAAAGAAAGGTGAAGAGAGTGGTGAGAGAGTGCAAAAGGAGAGTAGATGATAGAGTGGGAGAGGCACTGTCAAGAAATTTTAATGAAAATAAGAAAAAATTTTGGAGTGAGTTAAACAAGTTAAGAAAGCCTAGGGAAAGTATGGATTTGTCAGTTAAAAACAGAGTAGGGGAGTTAGTAGATGGGGAGAGGGAGGTATTAGGTAGATGGCGAGAATATTTTGAGGAACTTTTAAATGTTGAGGAAGAAAGGGAGGCGGTAATTTCATGCACTGGTCAGGGAGGTATACCATCTTTTAGGAGTGAAGAAGAGCAGAATGTAAGTGTGTGGGAGGTACGCGAGGCATTACGTAGAATGAAAGGGGGTAAAGCAGCTGGAACTGATGGGATCATGACAGAAATGTTAAAAGCAGGGGGGGATATAGTGTTGGAGTGGTTGGTACTTTTGTTTAATAAATGTATGAAAGAGGGGAAGGTACCTAGGGATTGGTGGAGAGCATGTATAGTCCCTTTATATAAAGGGAAAGGGGACAAAAGAGATTGTAAAAATTATAGAGGAATAAGTTTATTGAGTATACCAGGAAAAGTGTACGGTAGGGTTATAATTGAAAGAATTAGAGGTAAGACAGAATGTAGGATTGCAGATGAGCAAGGAGGTTTCAGAGTGGGTAGGGGATGTGTAGATCAAGTGTTTACATTGAAGCATATATGTGAACAGTATTTAGATAAAGGTAGGGAAGTTTTTATTGCATTTATGGATTTAGAAAAGGCATATGATAGAGTGGATAGGGGAGCAATGTGGCAGATGTTGCAAGTATATGGAATGGGGTGGTAAGTTACTAAATGCTGTAAAGAGTTTTTATGAGGATAGTGAGGCTCAGGTTAGGGTGTGTAGAAGAGAGGGAGACTACTTCCCGGTAAAAGTAGGTCTTAGACAGGGAAATGTGTAATGTCCCCATGGTTGTTTAATATATTTATAGATGGGGTTGTAAAAGAAGTAAATGCTAGGGTGTTCGGGAGAGGGGTGGGACTAAATTATGGGGAATCAAATTCAAAATGGGAATTAACAGTTACTTTTTGCTGATGATTAGCAAAGGTTAGTGAATGAAAGTGAACATAGAAAAGAGTAAGGTGATGAGGGTATCAAATGATTTAGATAAAGAAAAATTGGATATCAAATTGGGGAGGAGGAGTATGGAAGAATTGAATGTTTTCAGATACTTGGGAGTTGACGTGTCGGCGGATGGATTTATGAAGGATGAGGTTAATCATAGAATTGATGAGGGAAAAAAGGCGAGTGGTGCATTGAGGTATATGTGGAGTCAAAAAACGTTATCTATGGAGGCAAAAAAGGGGAATGTTTTGAAAGTATAGTAGTACCAACACTCTTATTGGGTGTGAAGCTTGGGTGGAAAATGCAGCAGCGAGGAGACGATTGGAGGCAGTGGAGATGTCCTGTCAAAGGGCAATTTTGTGGTGTAAATATTATGCAGAAAATTCGGAGTGGGGAAAATTAGGAAAAGGTGTGGAGTTAATAAAAGTATTAGTCAGAGGGCAGAAGAGGGGTTGTTGAGGTGGTTTGGTCATTTAGAGAGAATGGATCAAAGTAGAATGACATGGAAAGCATATAAATCTATAGGGGAAGGAAGCGAGGTAGGGGTTCGTCCTCGAAAGGGTTGGAGAGAGGGGGGTAAAGGAGGTTTTGGGGGCAAGGGGCTTGGACTTCCAGGAAGCGTGCATGAGGTGTTAGGAGTGAATGGAGAGAATGGTACTTGGGACCTGATGATTGTTGGAGTGTGAGCAGGGTAATATTTAGTGAAGAGATTCAGGGAAACCGGTTATTTTCATATAGTCGGACTTGAGTCCTGGAAATGGGAAGTACAATGCCTGCACTTTAAAGGAGGAGTTTGGGATATTGGCAGTTTGGAGGAATATGTTGTGTATCTTTATACGTATATGCTTCTAAACTGTTGTATTCTGAGCACCTCTGCAAAAACAGTGATTATGTGTGAGTGTGGTGAAAGTGTTGAATGATGATGAAAGCATTTTCTTTTTGGAGATTTTCTCTCTTTTTTGGGTCACCCTGCCTCGGTGGGAGACGGCCAACTTTTTAAAAAAAAAAAAAAAAAAATTCACACAACACATTGCTCTCAAACATGACATCTCCATTGGCTCTTGCCTTCTTTCTGCAACATTTAAAGCACTCTTATTATAGGTTTGGTACCACTACACTCTTATACAGTGCATTTCTCTCTGCTTTCATAGCTAAAGTTTCTTGCACAGATGCATCAACACTCCGGTTATCCGGACTTGAGTCGTGGAGTTTCGGATATTGGCAGTTTGGAGTGACACCTGAACTGTCATATTTGAGAGCCTCTTCAAAGACAGTGATTATGCACGAATGATGGTGAAAGTGTTGAATGACGAAAGTTTTTTTTTCTTTTTTGGGTCACTCTGCCTAGGTGGGAAACAGCCGATGTGTTAAAAAAAAAAATTATATTATTTACCTCATCATTCATAGTCCCATCTGGTGATATGTCCACTCCGAAGTACCTAAATATGTATATTCATTCCCTCCTTGCAATCTAATATCCAATTTTAATTTCCTTTTATTACGTACATTCCCAAATTTATCCATCGACCTTTGCAAGTTTTCAGAATTTTCAAGAAGAATTCTTATTGTAGTTCCTTGAATTGGAATTGAAATGTTTTTTATTATTATTATTATTCATAGGTTAGTACTAAACCTGTATGGGTGCCACAGAACTTGGGGAATAAGGGGTAAGGTGGTTTGGTGCAAGGATGGGAAGGGTTGCTGGAATTCCTTGGATTAAGAGCTTTTCATAAGCATCAAGGCACCTTCCTTTAGCATTTTTGGAATGTAGCAAGATAATATTTAATGCATAGTTGCAATCATTGCACTGTAAACCTAACTTTCACTTGCAACAGTGCCATACTAATAATTTAAGACAAATGGAAATAAACTTATTTTCATTTGCTGACATTCACAGTGTTATAATTTTCATCTAGTTTATATTCTAACTTTTATTTGCAGACAATACCTAGAGCATTTTTAGAAATGGTCCCTGGTGGGGGTCATGACCTAATGACAGATACACCCTTAGAAGTATGTCATGCTATACATCGCTTCATCAAGAGGTGGAAACAACAACTATAAATATCTGACTTAGGTACAGTGTTCAGAGTTTTATTTCATTTAGTGTGCTAGTGTATAAAAAAATATTTATTGCTTTCTGATCTTTACTTTAAATGACTGATACAATAATTGTTTACAGTTAATGTTCATGGCATATAATCTCAGTACCTGAGGAATGGGAGGCAGTCAGGTTTGATTCAAGAAAGGAAAGACAAGTTCAGTTCCTTGAATCAAGAGCCCTTTACCAGAATCAAGAAACATTCCATAAATGACATTTTGTGCAAACAAAAAAAAATTTGTGGGACAATTGTCTTTTAAGTACAGTTTAGAGTCAGTTTGAGTTTACCCTCAAGTATCATACATCTTTTCTCTTGTCAGTTAGTGTACCTCAGCATGTTGTAAGATTCTTCACATTATTAATTTAATTTTTTTTTTTCAACAAGTCGGCCGTCTCCTACCGAGGCAGGGTGACCCAAAAAGAAAATACAGTGGACCCCTGCCTTACGATATAATTTCCAGAAGTATGTTCAGGTGCAGTTACCGAACGAATTTGTTCCCATAAGGAATATTGTGAATTAGATTAGTCCATTTCAGACCCCCAAAAATACACGTACAAAAGCACTTACATAAATACACTTACATAATTTGTGGCATTGGAAGCTGATCGTAAGGGGGGGGTCCACTGTATGTACTTTCATCATTCAACACTTTCACTTCACTTGTACATAATCACTGTCTTTGTAGAGCTGCTCAGATATGACAGTTTAGAAGTCCCTCCAAACTGTCAATATCCCAGACCCACTCTTAACCCTTTGACTGTTTCGGCTGTATATATACGTCTTGCAAGCCAGTGTTTCGGACATATATGTACTCAATAATTCTCGTGGCTTTAAGTCAAGCAGGATATAGCTGGTAGACCCACATGTGAGAGAATGGGTCTGTGTGGTCAGTGTGCACTATAAAAAATCCTGCAGCATGCAGTGAATAATGAGAGGAAAAAAAAAAACTCCATGTTTTTGGATTAAAATACCGAATCTAAGGTGTATTTTTGTATAGTATTTACGGTTGTATTCTTGGTCTCAATTGATAGAATGGAAAACATATTACAGAAACAGAGATGATTTTGATTAGCTTCATGATGAAAACGATCTTGAAATTGAGGTCAAAGTAGCGGAAATGTTTGATTTTTACCAATGTTCAAGAGTGAGCAAATCACACCACATGTCTGTTACATGTCAACTGGGGAGTCTAATATTCTTTCACCAGTGCACATATTATTTATACCATTTTTACAATACAATAGTCTGTATAACAGTAAATCTTCTATTTTTTGAGTGAATAAAAAATCAAAATAGAAAGCAAGAGTAATATAAGAGGGGCCTGGAGACATGACTAATGAACAAAGGATATGTTATTTTTGTGCCAAGAATGTCTGCATTGTTTATTCTGGACCCTATTTTAAAATTGGCATTTTTTTTAGTTTGTGTGAAATGGGCCAAATTGCCAATTTCTGACCACTTTATTGGGTAGTTGAAATCGGTAAATGGGCGGTTTCCTGTGGTCAGTTGATAGAAAAAAAATGGAGTTCTAAAGAAATAGCTATGAGTTTGGTCGACTGCAACAATAGAATTGGCCGAAAATAGGGCTCAAAGATCGCTCAAAGATCGCCAAGATCGCTAACTTCGCGGGAGCGTCATTCCATAAGTTTTCAGTCAGATTTCGTACTCTTGGTGTCATTACCATCGGGAAAAGATTCTCTATCATTTCATAAGAATTTTTTTTTTTTCTCAAAAATTTTTCGACACCAGGAGACACTTCAGGATTTGGGGTTGCGACAGTCAAAGGGTTAAAGTGCAGGCATTGTACAGTGGACCCTCAACTAACGACGGCATTAAGTAACGGCAAATTCGTTTAACGGCGCTCTTTGGCATAAAAAAATGGCTGCCAAGGCGAAAAACTCGTCTAACGCTGTTCGTCCCGAACTAATCCATGGGGCCAGAGCACGGCCTGAGTGGGCCCAGCCACTCCAAGACTCCATGTAGAGCCAGTGTTTACAAGTCGTTTTGGTCAATTCCAAGTGTACCTGCAATATATTTTGTATTATTCCAGTGTCTTTAGTGCTTGTAACTGCTAAATAAGCCACCATGGGCCCAAAGAAAGTTTCTAGTGCCAGCCCTGTGATAAAGAAGGAAAGAAACAATAAAATTCAAGAAAGTACTAGTAGCAAAGTACCAAAGTGGAGGAGGAAGAGAGAAGGGAGAATGTGCCTTCTGCAGTGATTCTACAATATGTACAATTCTAAAGCAGTAGGTATCGATAAAGGCTATACTGCCAGCCAGAGATAAAGTGTAGAATTAACAGTGTAGCAAGTTAAATGAGTAAGCGATAGAAAAACGACACGAAAGTAACTCCAATGTTGTTGGATGTGTGTACATCCACTGAACATACGCCGGCCTGCTATTTTCCACTACCCTAAACCTCTGCCAGCATCTCCTCCATCAAACTAACTAAACTAACATCTCCAAGATAAGTGTAAATATAAAAGGACCCCAATGGAAATACATAAGCCACTCTTTTGGGTTATCCTAGGTACTTTACACATGCTGCTATGTATGATAATCTATGTAATTGTATTTGTGTATACCTGAATAACTTTATTTATAAATTACAATGTAAATATTTCTTATTTATAAATTACATTAAGTGTGATGGTGGTGCTGGCAAAATCCTCCACCGCCACCAACACGGCTTCTCTCAGTGGCAGCCCTTAACCCTTTGAGGGTCGACAGGCCCTCTCCAAAACTCATTCTCAGGGTCGGCCAAATTTCAAAAAAAAAAAAAATTTTTTTTTCTTATGAAAAAATAGTTTTTTTTTCTAAACATTATAGGATAAACAAAAAAAATTTACCATCAATACTTACGGAGATATGGATGCATGAAGTTTGCAGAAAATGAGCCGCATATGGCAACAGCGGCGACTGCCGCTCACCCGGTGAACTTTAGGTTTACTTGTATTTGAAGGTTTGTTGTTTTTTTCACTATTTATTTTTTCACATAACTTATGTGGCCTATGAGACCAAGTAAGGTGCAATGTACATATATACACTCGTTGTATACAACACAATAAGCACACAAACATAATTATCAATATATTGTTTACAAACTTGTTTACAAAAACAAACAATACAAAACATTGTTTATTATTATTGTTCTATAATTATATACCATATACAGTCACTGAACATATTTCTATTAGTTCTGCAGCTTGTGGAACTCTGAACATGGTTCATACACAATGGTGTTTTATCTTTCTCCCTATTCTTATCTCTTTCAATCTGTCTCTCTCTTTCTATCTGTCTGCTATCTCTGTCTCACAGGTACACATAAATACAAGTATACATAGTATAAATTACCTAGGATAACCAAGAAATCCAGACAAAATGCTTACTCTGCTTTAAGATGTGAGTAAAAGTGATGACACAGTCTTGTGGCTCTCTGAGACAGAGAGCTAGACGGATGACAGATAGACAGGGAGCTTTACAGACAGACAAATAGACAGAAATGTTTGTGTACCCGTACCAGTGTATAGTGTTCCACCCCCCTCCTCCTCTTCTTCCTCTTCCCCCTACTCTTCCTCCTCTTTCCCTACTCTTTCTCATACTCTTCCTCTTCCTCATACTCTTCCTCTTCCTCCTCTTCCTCCTACTCTTCCTCCTTTCTTCCTCTTCCTCCTCCTTTTCCCCTTATTCCTCTTCCTCCTACTCTTCTCTTCCCCTTCCTCTTCCTCCTCCTCCTCCTCTTCCTCCTCCCCCTCTTCCCCCTACTCTTCCTCCTTCTCCTTCTCCCCCCCTCCATAGTGTAAATTACCCGGAGTCGGCAGCTGTCAAAATGACATATTGTCTCATTTTCTCACTCCCCCCTCCCGCCTGTCAAAACAATGGGGTCGGATGCTGCTTCCTTCCTCCATTCTATCTAATTCTTTCTCCTCATTTTATCTGTTGTTTATCTCTGTCTCACAGGTACACATAAAACAAATAACATAGTATAAATTACCCAGGATACCCCAAAAAACCGCAAAGTCTATACCGCTTGAAAATGTGATAAAGTGATGAGCGTCTTTTGGTCTCGAGCAGAGAGCTAAGGATAGACAGGAGCTTGACAGAAGGCAAATAGACAGACAGAAAAGTTAGTATACCAGCAAAAAAAAAGGGAGGGGGATGTTCATCTCATCTTTTTGGGATCTGCTTACCCTCATTTTCCCCCCCTCAAACGTCGACTTTCAGATGTTATCTCCCCTTTTTTGTTACTGTCATGGTGAAATTTATTATTACATATTATATTATTACCTAATTTTATTTGTATTTTTATTTGTTTTTTTTTTTTTTTTTTTATCACACCGCCCATTCCCACCAAGGGGAGGGTGGCCCGAAAAGAAAAAACTTTCCACACATCCTCACTGTCTTTCCAGAAGGGTGCTTTACACTACTTTTTAAACTGCAACATTAAAACAACCCTCCTTCAAGTGCAGGCACTTCTTCCCATCTCCAGGACTCAAGTCCGGCCGCGGTTTCCCCAATCCCTTCTAAATGTTCTTTGCCAACTCCCAAAAGCACGTCAAGTATTAAAAAAAATTTGGGCTCCATTCACTCCTATCAAACACGCTAAGCATGCTGCTGGGGAAATCAAGCCCCCCGCACACAAAACCCCTTTACCCCCCCCCTCCACCCTTTAGGCCGACCCCTCCCGCCCTTTCCCTTTCCCCTACAGACTGATACCTCTTGAAGTCATTCTTTTCGCTCCATTTTTCTACATGTCCGAACCCCCTAAAAAACCCTTTTCCCCAGCCCCCTGGACAACATTTTGTAATCCCGCACCCCTCCAACTTCCCAAAATACGAATTCTCTGCATTTTTAAATTTAACCACACATTGCCCTCAGACATGACATTTTCCCCGCCTCCCGCCTTCTCCCCGCTGCAACATTCATCACCCCCGTTCACACCCTATAAGGCGTTTGGTAAAACTATAAATCTCAT